CCTGTGTTTCGTAGAAGGTCCGTAGAACTTCAAAGTGTTTGCATTGTTGAAGTTGTGCATTCTTTACTTTACCGTTGGTATTTKTGAATATTTGGACACTGATCCGAGGCTAACCCTGAGTAAATTGGTTTGCAATCAAGGAGTACAGCGCGGTATTTCACGAATTCGAAAAAGGTTTATTATACCATATATTTCAGAAAAAGTCGGTCAAGGTTTCGTTGTATACTGCATGCTGCATACCAARCAAAAGTGCACTATTGTTGATGTGAATGCAATCAGCGAAAATTCTAGCCTCCTTTGCAGCTGGCGACCCTAAGAACGGCTGCAAAGGAGGCTACGAAAGATCAACAAAAAATTAAAGTTTTCCGAAATTGAACATGTTTTTCGTGCATATTTTCTTCTGTGTTGATATTATTTACATATGATCCACAATACATTTCAAGCTTGGCGTTCAGCATGCAACAAAACCTTCAAAAACCTTTATTGAAATAGCTGTATGAGAAGATGATTTTCTTTTTATGATTTTTACATGTACAAGTAAGGAAAATTGAGATAAAAAATAAGTTACTAACGATTTCTGCTTCTTCCAAGGAGGATGAATACATCAAAACAGCTGAAATCAGCGCAGAATCAGTACTAACAACTCTTAAAGCAAAAATACGTCAGGTACTAAAAAAAGCTATTTCTAAATGTCTGTGTTCTCATCAACTGCAAAATAGCTTTCTATTAAATATCACATCTAATTATAAYGTCACTTCAGCAGCACAATAAACTTGTTGTAAAAAATGGTCGTTGCTTTCTCGTTAGAGAAGATTCGTAGTCCTTACTGTTAATGATGATGATGATGACGATAAATGTTGATGAGGATGACGATTACGGTGATGRTGATGATTATGGTGATGATAGTGATGGTGATGCTAATAATGGTGTTGATATCAAATTGAGCTGATCCTCGCAGTATTTTTATGAAGCAACTTATGCAGCTACGAATTTAAAGACTCAGAAAAAATTCTGATGGTAGTGATGATGATGATGTTAATGGTAATAATGGTGGTAATGATGATGATGATGCTGATGATGATTACGGTGATGATGATGATTACAGAGATGATGGTGATGAAAGTGATTGTGATTCTAATAATGGTGGTGATGATGGTGATGATGATGGTGGTGGTGATGATGATGCTGATGCTGATGATTACGGTAATGATGATTAAAAAGATAATGGTGATAAAAGTGATGGTGATTCTATTAATGGTGGTGATGATGGTGATGATGATGGTGATGATGATGGTGGTGATGATGGTGGTGATGATGGTGATGATGATGATGCTGACTGTACTTTTGGGAAGTCTTTGAGTTAAAGGTTGGTTTAAAATTACTCTGGTTTCTTTTTTTCCAGGTTGACCTATCCTTGGCAATCCAAAATCAAATCATCCATGAGTATCATTCTCGGCTTGAGGATGTATGCGAGGCACTGTCATCTCTCAATATTGCCATTACGTTCTTGTCATCTGGTGGCGGCAACCCCAACATGTTGATCAAGAAATACTTACACGAGGTGTTAAAGCTTCCTAAGGACACAGGGCTGCGCAATACCAAGGTACGTGCAGTTTTATTTATCTACGACCAGTGTGATAGATTGGGGAGTGGTCACTATTTGTCGCCTTTAAGGGTCGGAGTATTTTTGTGGCGACGTCATTAAGATTAACCAATCCTCTCAGAGGCACCATCTCTTTGTGCCCCCCCCCCCCTCTCCCCCCTTTGCTGTCAATGTATAGCAGATGAATGAATTGAGATCGGTCTCTTATAAATCTCTTTGTATTACAGGCCCAGGAAGTTTGTCAAATCCAACACGCGGTATCCCTGTGGCGACTTTTGTCTTTTGAAAGAGCAAAGATCTTAACCAAACGCAAACAGGTAGCCCATCGCTAAATAAAWCGACCTTGTTTTACGAGGTTAGCACTTTAAATCAGTGTCCAACAAACCTGTGGCCTTTGTTCCACGATTTAGAAGTTGATTTTTGCGGAAGAAGGAAAACCGGAAAACGCGTAGAAAACTCTYGAGGCACAGGAGATAACCAACTAGAAACTCTACGGGCCTATATCACACGGCGGCCATGTTTATTCTCATGAGAATAAAAACCTTTGTTTCCCCAGCATAAATTWATTCTCAAGCRCTTSAATTTGAGGCTACGCGTGGTGGARTCTATTGTTCAATCCAACATGGCTGCCGCGTGAATAAGGCCCACTCAAATACACCGAATAGAGAATTGCACCATYACGTGCCGGCGCCATAATCCAGCTTGGACTGCCTGTGGTTAGATRGCARAACAATARARTCCCTKTGCTCTMGGGAATTGAATTCTTTCTCATGTAAAACGATCGTATTGTTCATGCCATCTAACAACGAAATATGGCGATAAATTTGAATGACTATTGTTCTGCACTGACTAGCTGCGCTGCGCATGCATTAGATAAGTTTGTTAATCTTTATTTCTTGGTATATCATAGGATCCATTTGAACATCTTTCKCCCAACTTTAAGGGCGGTCTTTCGGAGGCAGTGGAAGTTTCTGYGAATGCCGCCTTGAGAAAAATGAGCGAGAAATGCCTGGATAGTTTGGTATCTGTTTTGTTGGAAGTAATTATTCTTCGTTTGAACGACAGTATTGATAGTAACAACAGGTAATTTAACTTTATACTGAGACGTTATATATTTTCTAGTCCTGTTATCATTCATGGTTTCCACTCCCCTTAGTTACCGTTGCTATGTCCCACAAGCTCAAAAATATRTCCTGAGAATTTAAAACTCTTAACTTGCTTCATCTCCGTTAAATCATGTTTTCTAATATTACCAAGCTTTTGGCCGTCTCGGGGCCGTCTTGGCCATCACAGGGTTAGAGTAACGGTTAAACTATAAAAAGAAAACGATTTAACATCGATGAAGCATGTTTGCTCGATATTTTTTTCCGCAAGGAGAGGTTGCGTGATATGTTTTTGTAGGTGAAGTGCTTGCTCGATATTTTTAGGGGGGATTTAACGCCATTGTATGAGTCGGAAACCTTTAACTTTAACCTATTTTACTCTTTTCTCATTGCCAGCCTTAAAAACTATATAGGGTGGTATTTAGATGACAAAGATGCCTCTCCCATCCCTGAATTGGAACACATTCCTGACGAAGTGGTTCTGATGAACATTGTTCGCTTCTGGCAGATTGTATTTGCCACGAGTGATGGATATCATGAGAGGCGAATGGAAGCAACAGGATGACGGGAATAAAGTCTGATTTTAAAGTTTTTTCGTGAGATGAAGACATCAAGAGACTTTGAATATCATGCAGTTATTAAATCACTAAATAACACAGAAATTTAGATAAAATTTAGGRCATTTTTATGATGTTTTATTTTCTTCACTCACTCTCATTACTGCACTTATCAACGATTCATCGTAAAGATGAAAAATAGTTTGTAGACGGATACTAAAAAAGCGTAGAAACAGAGGAACACTGAGAAAATTAATAGTTTATTTGGCAAACCAGTCAACGAAGTTTGAACGGTATTCGACTGTGATTCGTTGTGCAAAAGCACTGAACAAAAAGTATATGATAAAAATCAATTAATAAARWTAMAGCTYTTAATAAAGTSATATTTAGAAAMACTATAGTCCWGGTATTTAGTAAACTAAATATCAGCTTGAACTACAYTAARTCATAGTTAATAGAGGGGACCRGAATGGTTCCGTTGTATTGAATTGGGCTTCCTGTGTTGGASCGTTYATTAGCAAATAATTARACACAAATGAGGTAAGCTGCAACTAATTGTATTGATAAACGCGTAGGAATAAAAACCACCTGAATCAAATGGAATAAAGGTAGCAAAAAAGTAAGAATATTAGTAATGTATCTAAAGGTGGTTTGATGGGTTTCATCATGGACCCCCACCCCCCCACCCTTTGTGATCTTGTGAAGCCAATCGTACATGGGAAAATGTTTTTCTGGTAGAAGGGGTGCCCTCTTTGTCTAACTGACCAGGACGGCCATTTTTTTTACTGATTTATTTGTAAATTCGCGTCGACCCTTTAGATGAGACATAATATTTTGCATCGACTAGAAGGGTCACCCTACTTGTAGCTAAGGRCACCCTCTTTGCGAAAGACGATCGCTCTGGTACCCGGGACAACTTTTCCATTTAATACTTCAACTCGCCCAACCGAGACAAATACGTAGATAACTCTTCCTTGAGCATGCGCAACTATTAATAGTACCCAGTTARGTCAAGATACTTTTGGAATTCCCCTTTTTAAATCGAGCGGAATTGAGAGCCTAAGACAACGAAGCAGAGTTCACTAGGCTCATCGTATAGTTTGTGTCTGTCTCCCTCACAAAGTGAAGAGAGTATACAAGGCTTTCWATTGCAAGATCACCATGAGCCGCCCCCATGAAGGAAACGGAAAAGAAAGAAAGAAACAAAAGACAGAAACTTGACACTAGAACAAAGACGAGGATGGAAAGAAAACGAACTCAAAAAGGCATAACCGATATATGAAGCTTTTTTACTGCGTGCAAATTGCAWGTGATAGAAATTATTTTAGAATCTGAATATGGCAGGTGATCAGCGCACAGCGTTTCAGGACGTCATTTTGCATTCTTCTAAAATGTTTGTTTTGATTCCAACTATAAATTCCAAGTTTTATTTAAAACTGACTTCTAAATATGAAATACAAGATAGATAACATTGAAGACTGATCCAGCGAGTATACATGTGTTGGCTCTGATGACTTAAAAAGGATTATCGCTGATTATGATCAATTAATTATTCAAGATCATTATTGATTAACGTTTTTTTACAGCTTAAACAAGCGACGGAAGCCGAGTAAATAACGTCCATTTTYCCCCCATGATATCAATACAACTGAAATAGGCAGAGGAATCGATAGAAATACGATTAGTGACTGACGTATGCTCTTCGATTTGCCTATGAAACAATTTACAGTAAGACTGTTTGTAAAACCAGTTGATATCACCAATAGCTAGACGTAATACTWCTTTATTTCTTCCTTCGCATATTTCCATCAATTATATCCGCCGTTTACATACCTTGATCAATTACTCCTGCATTCCTTGGCCAATAACATATATGACTTAAATAAGCTTACTTATAAATCATCCTTTTATAGTAATCGAAGGGTATTAAGTTGTCTCAAGGCTGTAAAATCGCTTAAAACTAATTTACTAAGGATGAATAACTAGTTCGGGATTTTCTCTTACGTCCCGCGTCCCGCGGGTTGATATGAACGCTGTCTCGAATACCTTTGCAAAGTGACCAATCASATGAAAGATCACGGCTCGCTCTTCCAGTGCGTCGAACGAAGAGACAGAGAAGTAAGACATGTAAYGTGGTTGAAGGATTGGTTTTAAAAGTCAATTTACCGTTACATTCTACCATTATGAGGCTATAAACTTAATCCAACTAATTCCAAGATGCCGAATAAAGGCAAGAAAGAAAAGGTAAACGTTTTTAAGAATTTTATGTGCAGCTATMGAGGGACGAAAGATGCAGAGTTGAGCCGTCAAAACGGAGCAAAAAATAACGTACGATTATCGTTTTATCTTCGTGTATGTCTTGGTTTAGGCCTCCAAATCCGGCGGATCTTCGAAGCAGGCTACTAAAGAAAGCACAGATGGGCCGACAGAAGACGTAAGTCCACGATACTACTGCGTTTTCATTGTTGTTTCACAGCCATATTGGATACGGTCAGGTCGAACATGCTTTTGGCGTTTTGCAAGGGTGTGTTGACGACTTTGCGTACCAAACACTAATAAAATTTACCTTTGTATTTTAGACAAAAATCAAGGTTCATGGCGCTCTCCATCCACCAAGCCAAGTCGTCAAACTTCGCCATTTTGCCAATGGACCTTCAATCATGAGGAAAGAAAAGCGCCACAGCTCGACGTTCAACGTTAGCGATAACCGAGAATTAGTCAAATTGCCATTATTAAAAGGTAGTGTATGACACTATTCGCTCTTAGAGAGATGTTATTCCACTCTTTTTCGTATTCTGCCATTAATTATCTTAATGGTTTTGCTTTCAAAATGAACAAAGAAAGTCACAAGAATATTATATCCTTTTTAGACGTTTTTTCTGGATTTCATAAATGGGGCAATTTGGAGACATTTTGCGGTGATGTTTACGTCTTTGCCAGAAAATCGTGTGCGTTTTTTTTCCACAAAGTAATCACTTTTGCGGGCTGGAGATTTTTGTGACTCATTCCATTAATATTTTTTTACTCTATGTTTATCGCATTTGGACCTTTTTCTCTTTTAACATTCCTTCGAGATTTGCAGTGATTATATTTTGAGGGTTTTATACGTACAATGGTTGAACTGGATCTATAGAAACCCCATGACGATCCACGCATTTTCACTGTTTCATTTATCTTCCTTTCCATCGGTAGATATCAAACGCCTTCTATAAAAAATTCTAGCCATGAGTTGAAATCAAAAATATAATTGTATAAAAATCCTAAGGTCTGACCAGATTGGCTAATCTTTGTCTTGGCATACAGAAATTTTTGATATCATTAGTACAAAACTGCACATAAACAATCTAAAGACATATGGATCCTTCCTTGTGACAGTTTGAATTTTGCTTCACTAAAGAAAATAACCCCGCTAATTCCACGACAACAATTTTAGCTCAGCTGCAATACTAGGGTCTAGGGTTTCTGATCTTGAGTTATTTAGAATGCACTGATTGATAGTAAACAAACGATTGATCCTCAAGTCAGAAGATTTGGAAAGTAAGATCTTGAATAAAGGGGAAGGAAAATACGACATAAGCTGTGATGCCGTCTTTGTTAGCTCTTCCTTTGTGTCCTCCTAGCGTTGTTTTTCTACTCTTTGCCAACGTTTTTTTCGGTTACTATGTCAAAATAAGTATACTATTTTAAGACCAAAGTTTTGATTCGGTTGACTTCACTTCAACATTACATGTGGCTTTACTATACGTCCCAATGAAAAGACGCCGCTGGAAAAAGGCTTCTTTATATCGATCAGTTTTACTTTCGATTAGTTTCTTGAAAAACGAAAGACCCTTTATTATTGAAATCTATAAATTTGCTGGTTTTTTTTTGTTTTTACAAAAATTTTGAAATGCATAAGATTATTATACAGGTATTTGATTTCCTCTATTATTGTCTCGAAAATTGGAACTCCATTTGCCACTCAGCTGGGAAAAAACAGGATATTCAAAAAAATATCTTTTTCTATACTGATCTGATCATAAAAGCATCAATGAAATAGATATTGTTTTCGTTAGTGCTAAAAGATATCTGAATTTAGTAGCAGAGAGAAGGATTAGTTTGGCTCAATTAGTTCTGCAAGGAATGGATAAAAATGTGGTTTCATTTTGCCCTGTTACTGTTCTGGTGTTGATATTTAGGTGACCTCTTGTCAGAAGTAGGCTCATGTTGATTCAAGATGCGATACAATGATTATTTTGTCTTGGAAATCTTGGTAAAATTAAACTATTTGAAGAATATAGCATCTCTTTGTATTACATTATCATTATGATCATTCATTCATTCATTCATTCTATTCTCTACCAAATGTTTCTTATCGATTGTTGTTCTTAAATTTAATCTTAAATCTGCCTACATCATATTAACCTTTTTAAAAAAGTTAAACTCCTTGCAGATGGAGGTTCTGCCTTCTACATTTGCTGAAGGAAAAATACTGACACAAAAATAGTTTTACTTTGTAAAAAAGCTACAAATCTGTTTAGTCTTCGTTTTATTGTCTGTAGTTGTTATTTAGATTTTTTAATTTATTTTGTAGTCAAAATTTATATAATTTCCTTTTCCTTCCTTGTTTTATTAAATATTTTGCTCCATTAAACCTTGATATGACGCCTTTATGGGATAATTTAAAAGCTAGATCTATGTAATTGTTATTGTCGTACTGGCCATTCTAAAACATTGTTAATATCATGGAGATATATATTCAAATATATATATTGAAATATTAATATAGGTATATATGTACAACAGTAAATTATTAATATATTAAAGTGCTTGGATTTAACATTAGCTTCCTGTATGCTAGGTATTAGTTGCAAGATAAGTTTGTTGCCTGTTTCATGTGTCATGTTTTTTCATTGAATTATTGCCATCCAAATGTTTATTGCTTCATGGTACTCACAAGATGAGTTTGGTAGCCATTTTTAACTGCTGTGTTTGTGGGTTCTATAAATGGGGAAATTGAATAAATTAAGGAAATTATGACCTCCATCACAAGTATACACACAAGATTTTATGTTTTGAATTTTTCTGTGCTAAATGATAATGACATTATATAAATTGTCAAAACTTCACCAATTTTTATTACATGTTTCTTGTGGATTTTAAGGACTTTTTAGCATATGTAATTTTTGCTTTGTCTTCATAAAGCTTGTAAAGATGGTTAATGAATACTGAATGCTGTATAGGAAATAAGATACTTAACTCTGTTGAATTTCAGACCTTCAGGTGATGAAAGACTCGGTGTCTGAAACGTCAGTAAAGTCAATATTGTGTTCAACCTACAACATTCATAAATTATATGCTTTATACTGGCGCAATCTATGCCTGTTTCATACTAGTTATTTGTTTATTAGGGAGCCAAGGGCAATGTGCTCTGATATCTTTTGTGGAAAAAGGTGGGCGTAACACCTGCATATCTGCCGCTCAGTATATGAAGAAAAGTCGTCATTTTTTTGCATGTAGCACTTCAAGGATATCTAATTTCTCAGTGTCTCTGGCCCGTCTCTTCTTTCTGAAAAAAAGAGGTTCAATGATAATATACAGGGTCACTTGTCATAAATATAAGTACGCTAACAAAATCAGTGGGGATTTACATTTTATTTTCAAGGAGCCATCACCTTCAGGCACCAAATTTAATAATGATAATTAAAAAAAGATAATAAGGCTGTCACTTTTGATATCCTCAGATTTAGCTTCTGCAAAGTTTACCACTGCAAATTTATTGATACTAGTCAACAATTTTTTGACGTATCATAGATATTTTATTTTATCTTATACTTTGTTTTGTTTTATTTTATTAGTTTTGCAAAAATATACATAAGACATTTACAAGGCAGGGTGGCTGCTATAGTGCAGAATTGCTGACACCTTTTGTTTTATTGTTTTTCCAGTAAATTCTTTAATGTCATAAACCAATCTCCAGTGAATTATTTGTAGCTTTATTAATGTAGATATAAGAGTTTGAGAATATGATGATAATGCCAAAGCCAAATTGAATTTTTGAAGGGATCAGTTGTTGCTTTGGTAATAGAGTACTCAAATTATGAGGAACACAACAATTTCAATAGACAATCAAAAAAGACATTTACACACCATATTTGACAAGAATCGGACAAATATCATCTGAGATATGGTCATTTGAATATATAAATACCCCATATGAACCACTGTATTTTCAGCTTAGTTCAAAATGTTTTGATTCTCGTCAAAATTGGTATGCAAATGTCTTTTTTGATTGTCTATAGAAATTAGAGATTGAAAATAATTAATGATGGTAATTAAACTGAGTGGATAGCAATTTGGACAAAAATCATGCGAGTGATTACAAAATTGCACAACTGCATAGCGGGAGTGCAATTTGTTAATCACAAGGGCTGTACGGGAAAATATTTGGCTTGAGGTGACACCATGTGGACTGAGCACAGTCCGTACACAAATGACTGAGAGCCAAATATTTTCCCATACGGCCTGACCTATCTCACTCAATAAGAATTTTATCATATGACCCTCATGAAAAAAGAAAAGAAAAGAAAGAAATAAATAGTAAATAAAAGCTAAAATAGAGAAAGTGTGCGGATTTGAGCAGGGCCTCCTTACAGATTCGTATGGCTGTGCTTGTTCAAAGCCGTACGGCCCTGCTCACGCCATTTTCCTGAAGGTTTTGTTTTTTTTCGTACACAAATGACCAAGAGCCAAATATTTTCCCGTACGGCCTGACCTATCTCACTCAATAAGCATTTTATCATATGACCCTCACAAAAAAATAAAATAAAAGAAAGAAAGAAATAGTAAATAAAAGCTAAAATAGAGAAAGTGTGCGGATTTGAGCAGGGCCTTACAGATTCATACGGCCGTGCTCGTTCAAAGCCGTACGGCCCTGCTCACGCCATTTTCCTGAATGTTTTTTTTAAGAGTGCGTGCCTGGGCAGATACGGGTCATGATAATTCACATTATTATTTTAATCTTGATCTAGCTGTACTTGAGCTGTTGTAAAATACCTGCCTTTGGCAAATCTTTGAATGAATGAGTGAAAGAACGAACGAATGAACAACTAACGAGCAAACAAACATGCAACAGATTTAAATTACATTTCAACTAGCCTCCTTATACCCACCATTTAATAAAGCTATAATTTTATTACACAAATCTGATTACAAACTATTAATAGAATCTAAAAATTTGAACTATTCCTGGTTATTAAGATCGAATGAAGATTATTTTCAAGATATATGACATCAATGACCTATATTATGGCTTCGAATTTCTCTTGAGTGGGACACTTTCTTGAGTTTATCTTGTTAGAAGTAAGATAAAATGTTGTTGGACCTTAATCTCTCTATTGGTGTGTCTGGAGATACAGGTATGATTTTAGATTAGATTAGAGGCAGCTTTTTTCTCTATTCCTACAGGAGAGTCTAATCTTTTAAAGATAGACTCTATAATGATCCCCTTAGGATTAACACATAAGTGTGTTGAAGAATGCAGTTATCTTGTTTAGTGATGATGGACAAATGAAAAATAATTAATGCAAACATGGACTTTGAACTTGATTGAACATCATAACATGATGTGATACCTGATAGTGCAATATATTGATCAGATTAATGTTGAATGAGCGTGCAATCCTCAGTGCACAACGTTTTTGCTGTAACTCATGTTTGAATTAAAGGTTAAACTTTTACAATCCACACAGAGGATGGAAATGTAGAGATGTCAGATTTCTATAGCTCTCGACAGGATGTACTATACCATGATAGCTTTGCGCAATGGAGAAGTGCACAATTAAGTGCTCAGTGCTAATCTAAGTGCACATCTTTTTTGCTTTCATTTGTAATCTCTCTTAAATAGTTTGTAAAGATAGCCATCCAAAAAATAATGGACATGGTTAATGATAGTTTTACATATATAAATAACTTCTCCTGCTTATGCAACAAGTTCAGTTCATTGCAGACACAATGACAACACCAAAAACTCCACAAGCTAAAAACATTTTTAAACTACAAAAATGTATTTATGATTAACGCTGTATCTTTAGTTTGCCAATGATAATTCACACTTCAATTATTCCCTTGAGTATGATTTCTTTGTTCACTGGAACTTGAGAAAATAGATTGATATATTGAATAAAATTATTTCTGGTGGATACTGCAAGCTTATTCAGGCTTTGTACGACTGCCTGCTGAAGATTATTATTTATTTTATCACATTTTTTCTCTTGTTTAGATTGTCCAACTGGGGAAAGAGAATCTCTTTTCATACAGAAGCTACAGCAGTGCTGTGTCATGTTTGACTTCATCGTTGATCCTCTGAGTGACTTGAAGTATAAGGAAATCAAGAGAGCAAGTCTGAATGAGTTGGTTGATTTTGTTACACATAATAAAGGAGTAGTCACTGAAGCTATTTACCCAGAAGCAATACGAATGGTAAGAAAAGCTGAAAATATACTCTATAAGTATAATTCACCTTTTCGGCTCTAGCTTGGATTGTGTTACGGTCACCAAAAAGTTCCGACATCGTTCTCGGATTACCATACAAATTCACTGACTTTAMAGAGAAAATTTAGGTAGATTTCTTTAGTTAGCTATCTTAACAGCAATAAGAAAAGCTTCAATCAAGCTAGAAAAATGATTAATTACTTGTATTTAGAGAACTAACTAAACATTAACCAAGTAAATAGTTCATTTAAAGTCAGTACATTTGTACAGAAATTTGAGAACAATGTCTGAACATTTTGGTGACAGTAACACAATTTAAAGCAATTTATACACCGTGATGGCTAGTGCCAAAAAGGTGAATTCTAGACTTGTGTGGAGTGGAATGTGGAGTTTCACAAGCTGTGATTGATAGGAGGCACCAGTGATTCTGAGATGACAATCACTGCTTGAGCTGTGATAAGTAAGTAAGTTTATTTAAAGAAGGTTTAAGAAAGTATTTACAAAAATTCTGAGATTTTTCAAAGTTTTCCAGAGTGGAAGTAATACCAAAACGTTTTTTATGCTGAATTCCGTCTTTTCTCTAACTGTGGAGGGGATGTGCAATGGGGGTAGGGGTGAGAGGTGGCATGTTGTCCCCTACAACCTCAGAGCAGTAGCATAGGTCTGCACACCCCCAACAAAATCAAATCTCTGTTTGCAGTCCCTGTAAAATCTATATTATTAAAGATGTCTTTATAATTTTGCTAAATAAAGCAAAAAGCTGTTTGTTTTGCAGGAGCAAAACATAATTAAATCAGATGTTAATAGAGAAAGTTTAAAGAGGATTAAAAAGGAATGGATGGATGATTAACTTTCTGTTTGTTTTCAGTTCTCATACAATACGTTTCGAACATTACCACCCCCTTCAAACCCTAACGGAGCAGAGTTTGATCCAGAGGAAGATGAGCCTAGTTTAGAGGCATCATGGCCTCATTTACAGGTGAAGTAACATTTCAGCTCACATTATTTAAGGAATTGACAACAGTTTTTTATATGTCTTTCCTCTTATTGGCCATAAACTGTGTCATCACATTGTCAAAGCTGTGTGGATCCATGAGGCATAGCGGAGTAGATCAGCAGAATTTATCATCAATAAGAGGACAGACACATTAAAAACTGTTGTCAATCTGTTTTTTACAATAACAAAAACCATAAAAACTTCTTATTTTTAATGATCAAAATGATCAAAGCAAAGAGTGTGTGATCATTGATGTCAGCTCATGTCTGTCCTCTTATGATGTTGAAAAATAACTAATCAGCGTGCAAGAAATATTTGTAAGTTATTGTAAAAAAACATATTTTCATTTTGAGCCGAAAACCTGTAACTAGGAAAATATATTGAGCAACAAACAAAATATTAACTAAATGGCTAATTCATTCTGGCTTAAAGTGAAACCAGGTGAAATTATATGGCTAGAATAAGCCTGAAGCCAGATGACATTTTACCCCCGTCTCTAGACCATAATCCTTTTCACACTGCTTTTGTTCTTTAATTATGACTATTGTTCCTGTATTCTCTAAGGAATTAAGAATTTTAATATGAAAGAATTTTAAAAACTAKTATGGTATAGAGTCGGGGGTAAAATGTCATCTTGCTTCAGGCTTATTCAAAACTGAGAAATAAGCATTTATTGTTTTTGTTTTTCAGATTGTGTATGAGTTCTTTTTAAGATTCCTTGAGTCGCCAGACTTTCAACCCTCAATGGCTAAGAAACACATAGACCAGAGGTTTACTTTACAGGTAAATAATGTTAGCTGGAGAAAACTGTTAGCGTGCAAAGGCCTTTATCAGGTGTTTTATTAAAGTCAGGAATCGGACAATGCTCCTGTAAAGTATTACTCTCTCATCTGATTTATAAATCTTATAAATAGAAGTTTGTTTTATTGTTTTTTATCAGCTTCTTGAACTGTTTGATAGCGAAGACCCTCGTGAAAGAGACTTTCTCAAGACTATCCTACATAGAATTTATGGCAAGTTCCTTGGCCTCCGGGCTTTTATAAGAAAATACATAAATAATATATTCTACAGGTATGTCATTGTGAAATAGAATAAATAAATGAATATAAAATAAATCAGTTTTTTATATTGGGATAAAAATTCAGTATATCTATACTGGTTACCCAGTTTGTCCCACTGTCATTTATGCCTAAACACTACCATTACAATAAATATTCTATGAATACAACTCAAGTCACATGTTGATTTTTACGGAGGGAGGAAAACCAGAGAACCTTGAGAAAAAACCTTGTGGAAGGGAGGGAACAACACATCAAACAAACTCAATTCACATATGATCTAGCTAAAGCTGGGGCTTAAACCCAGACCATGAAGGTAAAAGGGGAGTAGAAAATCACCACACCACCCATTACCAACAAGCTAATTTGAGCTTAGAGCTTATTCACTAGCCTCTGGGATCAGCCTTAGTGGTGAAAATAGAATATTTTAAGATGCAACCCTTGGAATCAAGTTGAATTTGCAAAGTGTTTCAAGTATTTCATTCTTTCTTTACCAGATTTATTTATGAGACAGAAAGACATAATGGGGTGGCAGAACTCCTAGAAATTCTCGGCAGGTAAGTAACTTTCTTCTAAAGAAAGATTCCACTTATGTTTTATTAACTTTAAGTATACTCAAAAGATATAGATGGCTTAATTATTTAATAGATGGTTTTCAATTTTTCTCACATTTTCTAAGGCTCAGATCAAACATTGAACTTCACATGAGCTGTACGCATTGAAAACGATAGATAGTAAGGCAGGTTTCTATGACTTCTCGTTCAAGTCACCCCTTGCAAGTTTTCCTCAAGTGAAGTTCAGCTCAAGTGAAGTTTGACATTTGTGTTCAGCTTTTAAGTCTACTCAAAAGATATAAATTGCTTTATCTTTTAATGGTTTTCTATTTTTGTTGTTTTAGTATCATAAATGGTTTTGCACTGCCGCTAAAAGAGGAACACAAGTGCTTCCTGATTAAAGTTTTAATGCCACTACATAAAGTCAAGTCTTTGGGAATGTATCATCCTCAGGTATGAAAGTACCATTTTTTTAACCTGGGCCCAGTCGTACAAAGGGTGGATAGCACTATTCAATGGATAAATCCTTATCCAGTGGATAAGTTGATGCTGTTATCCAATAAATTTATCCACTTGATAAAATTTATTTGTTCGATAGTGCTATCCACCCTTCGTACAACCGGGCCCTACAGAATAGATGGTTTGCTTACATACAGTAATTATAGGAAGAATATTTGGGACCCAAGGTAGTGCTGGCATGCTAAAGGGTGTCCAGTTAACTTAAGGGGTCTTCTTAGTAGAGGTACCACTGTACCACATTACTTCTATTTATTTATGATATGCTAATGATAACATTATTTAAACTGATCAGGACCAATCAGCAATCTGAAAAGATTCAGGTAGTTTTTGCTGTGGTTCTTGATGTGCTTGTCTTGTTGTATTACAGCTTGCTTACTGTGTGGTGCAGTTCTTGGAAAAAGATCCCACACTGACAGAACCTGTAAGTAATGAATAATGTGTGATTGAGTGGGTACATGACATCATATACTGGGAAATGAAAACCAAGACACTATACTGATAATAAGTTAATTCCAAAATGTTCTTGACTTGTTTGTTTTAGGTCCTAATGGCTTTACTAAGATTCTGGCCTAAAGTACACAGTCCTAAAGAAGTAAGAGGCATCTCAACCAYAGGGACTAAATTTAGATACATGTTTTAGAATTAAAATTGAATCCAGAAAAAATATCCAGAATAGGACAACGGTAATAGTGAACAATCTGTAATCTGATAATGGTAAGATAACAGTAAGATAACAGTAAATGGTCGGCAAATAGAGTTACTGACCACTTACTGTACATTGTAGATTGTTCACTATTACCTAGGACAACAGCAACAACAACAACAAATGTCCAGTATTTTAAAGATCTTAAGTCAAAGACAACTTTTATTCATTGTGTAGTTCAACAAATTATCCATACCCTCCATGGAGGAATTTTTTAAGGACTTTTCTTCCATACAAACTCTGTAATTTTGTTCTTTCTCTTACCCCTTCCAA